ATGTTAAAGTTTCAGGCGACATGACTGCAAGCTTCTGCAGCTCCAGCCATCCATTATCTTTAGCTTCTTTTTCTATTCCGGGTTGTGGGGGAGCTGGTGCCTGTCTCCAGAGGTCAATGGACCAGAGGCAGGGGACACCCTAGACCTGGACAAGTCCCCTCTGCAACTCGAGAGGAAATTAAGAACCTCTTAAAACATTTCAAGACATTTTGAAGACTCCCAGCATATTATAAATAAAACAGACTGATCTTAACAGCTGGGAAACTTTATTGTCCCGGCCAGGGATGTATACTTGCAAAAATAAAATAAAAATAGACTTGCTGGATTTACACACAAATTGAGGAGTGACTTGTTGTGATGTCACTTCTAGTCTTCAAGATTAGAACTGATTTCAGGTTTTGCCCCTTTTAGAGTTCACTGATCCAGAGGAAAAACATTTGATTTATCTTTACACAAATAGATAAAAGTTTTGTTTTTATGGAACGATAACTTCTGCCAGAACACAAAAACGGGCCATGTGACATTTTTCATACATGCACATGTTTTTCTCTGTAACCAGTAAATATTTAATATATGAATTCATACTCCAGCATTCTAAAAAGCCTTCCTCAAAGGGACAGACTGCGGTAATCATTTTGAAGTGATGTTCTGTCAGAGTTGAATCATTAGCACTTTATCAGCCATGACATCGGTCTTGAGGACGAAGTATGGAGAAAAGAGGCAGAAGTCTTCATCCAGGTTAGGCTGACGGCTAGCCAAACATGAGCCAGTTTTTCTTTTACTGTTTGTCAGACTTATTGTCCGCCTGTCACGGAGTTATAAGGGGTGATTGGAAATGCTGTCCATCCGTACACCGTGTGAACATGATAACTTGAAATATATGCAACATACCAACTTCCATTGTGGTGTGGAGCTGCATCTAGGCATAGGAAAGATCACTATTGAAATTTGGGTTGACACAGCAAAATCAAAGATATGTGTAAACCAACCACCCCTATCATTTGAGGAAACAATGCTTTTTAGCTTTTAAATTACTTATTGGGGTGGCCGAAGATTAATCTATGGGAGCCAAGGCTCCCATAGATTAACACCATTGTCCCATGGTGGCATGGCATGCTCCACACCATTGACCACCCACAGGCTTTGCCATTGTGTAAGATCATGGATAAAACCACTTGCCAGGATCTGTCGCTATGCGCTGCCTGGGGAAAAAACTTTAAAAAATCTATTCTTCTACACGGTGTAACTCGTACCAACAAGAATTTCTTGCACCAAAAATGACAAAAAAAGATTTACTGCATTCTCTGTAATTCCAGTCCAGAAAAAAAACCACTCATCTCGAAAACTAGAAACATTAACTATTCAAATCCCTCAGCAATGGGAGACAGTTTGTAAAACAAGCCTTTATCAAACACAACATACTGATGTGAAAGGACTCTAGAGTAGCTAATATTAAACCTCTACACTTTAGCAGGACACCGTTTAGTTAGACACTGCTTTTTGTTTCAGACAAACCCAGTTCATGTTACTACTTGAATTGAGTGCTGAGCATAAACCATGTTAATGCTGATGGTGCTGAGGCTGCAAATGATTCTGTCCTGCTGGTTGGCACGTCTAGTGAGTCTAAAAGTTTACTCAACTTCCAGTGAACTGGTACATTTGCAGAATCAGCACCATTGACATAAACTTGATATATCTATGCTGAGCCATGCATTGACCTACTAACACAGTAAATCTCTCACTCACATAACACACAATAAATCTTGTTTTTCCTTTGCTGCCAGGAGAAAGCTGGTAGAAGCTACATTCTTGCCTGGACTGGACTATTGTTTGTGACTTGCTGTACTTGCATGCCTCTGCCCAGTGACTACATTGATTAGACACAGTATATCATAGTGCTGTGATGTTTGTTAGATGCGACAAAGCCCTTACTCATCACTGTACCCTGTATGCCAGAGCTCAGTTTCCTTCCCAACCTTGCATAGACTCGCACATGGGTATCTTTATTTACAAAACCATTCTTGGGTTGTTTCCCTCCTATCTTTGTGGATCCATTTAATTTCAAACTAGTCAACTTCAACTGCGTTCAAATGATACCACTTTTTGTGATAGTTCCCAAGGTTTGTACAGAACTTTGTAAAAAGACATGTATGTTTTCTGTTGCTGCAGCATGGAATCACCTGCAAATTAAAAGCTTCAAGAGTTGATCCCAATCTGCTTTTAAAAAGAAGGTGAAGGGTTTGGAAAATGACTTGATTAGAGTTTGCAACTGCTTCCCATTAATGCCTAATGTTCTGCTCCTGCATGTTTCTGTTACATGCAAGAAACATGTAGCTAATGACATTTATTATTGTTGGTTTATACTGATGTGTTTTGAGTTGTTATATGTATGTTGATGTATTTTTTTGTAATTGTTTTTATTAGAGCCCATCCGATATGGAAATTTTAGCTATCGCCGGTATCGGGATGAGAAGGAGACTGCCAATAATAAACATAATGGCATAAAATTTTTGAGCTTTGTCCACTCCCAAGAATCTAAGTGAACGGTGAGTGGAACAGGGCTTGTTTATTTAGCACAGCTGTTAGCAACCATGAAGCTAAGCTAATCAGATCCACGCTTTAGTCCCACAGTAGGTTTACAAGTGGTGCACTGGTCATAAAAGTAATAAAAACTGTTTACCCAACTTGCATTCACATTTTCTTTCCTCCACTATTCCCCATAAAGTTGTTAAGTGTGTTACAACAATATAAATTAAACAAAGAATCGCCCTTCCCTGAAGGCTTAGTTAGTATTGACAGCAGCAGCGTTTTTTTTTTTTTTCAGAAAAATAAAGATTTCAGACAAACAATGCATTTCAATGAGGACAACAAAGATAATGTTACTAACAGTGGATGTTCTCACAAACTGGAAGCTCAATCCAACAGGGTTGTTTACTATAACTACTGACAACGAGGCGAGTTGTGAAGGTGATGCAACTGAACACTAACGTTAGCTTGCTAGCTTGAGAGGCACGTAGCTAAAGAGAAACAGGGTGGAGGATTGAAGATCATTTATTATTGTTTATTTTACAGATCAATTAAAATAGACTTGCCATGCTCAGTTCAGCAAATTTTGCTACACAGTATTGCTTGCTGCTTCGTCTGTGCTGAATGTGAAACTTAAGTGAACGGCATTGACTTGAATGTAGTCTTCATGTGCCCTCTGCTGGATACATTGTACAGTTACAGCTGTTTCCCAGCATTTTAGGGGTGAAAATCAGAAGTGTTTTTATATCGGCGCATAATGAGACAATTATGACCATTACGATATGTTTCCAAACGCCTATATCGGCCTAAAATATTCTCCCTACCAATCGATTGGGCTCTAGTTTTTATAGGTTGTTTATTCTCTGGAACTGGTACTGGTGCCTTTGCCAAGGCTCCCTTGAAAAAGAGATCTAGTAATCTCAGTGGGACTCACCTGATTAAATGTTATTTAAAAAAAAAATTGCCCTACTAACACAAATGTTTTGTTTGTGAAAAACTAAAGAAATGTTTTGTTAAAGTGACACCTTAAGGTGTTTAACATTGACTAATGTAGTGTCCTTATACAAGTATATAATTTTTGAGATAGTAGTTTTATAAGCCTGAAAAATTATATTTGTCTAGCCATTAACCTAGCTTGGATGAAGACTTTTGCCTCTTTCTCTGTACTCCATGTTCTGTCTCAGCTGCTAAGGTTCATAACTATCTGACAGACTGTCGTTTCAATAATGAACTGTCCCTTTAAATGGAGGAAGAAAGTCAGGGATGACGTCTCACTGGTCCTCTCCAAAGGTCCTGTATTCTGTTGGAGGGACTCCAGATTAGGTTACACTTTAGCTCCCATTTCGCCCTCTTAACAGAAATGTGACACCCAGTTATTTCCTTGGGCCTCATATGTACACATTAATATAAGCCATGGCCCAGTGAAGGTGACACAGCTCTGGAATTTATTGACTTGCGTTGTTATTTTCAGATTAGTGATTTAACTTGCATTTCATAATGCAGCATTTTTTTTATTCCAAGTTCTTGTCTGTCGAAGAACGTTTAAATGTTTTGTTTGTTTGTTTGTATTGGCCATGTCCCTGTTTGGATTTCTCTGGATGATTTGCAAATTGAAGGAGTATTTTGAGTGGTGTCCATTGTAAACTGTTTAAATATCAAAGGAAATGACAGTATTAAACTGTATTTATTTATTGTTTGTTTGTTACTGCTTGTTTTTTAATTTGATGCTAGGGAGACATTTAAAGATAGCTGGAGCTAAAAAATATAGCTTGTACGCAAATTCAATATGCAGTAGTATTAAAAAGAAATACTGATAAATACATTTATTTGAGTTCAGATTTGATTATGTTTTGAAATGTTTCAATATTTTTGAATCATGGGTTATTAATGAAAATAAGATTGAGTCAGCTAATTTTGTAGCCTGATTTATAAAAGGGTCATTTCAGAACTTGGTCATTGAAGATGAAGCAGTATTAAGTTTTACTTTTTGTTTGTTTGTTTTTTATTATCAAAGACTAGTTTTTACCAGACAGTTTAAAGTTATATGGTCAGAACAGTGTAAATATGTATTGGTTTTAAACTAGGCTCATTTTTGAGTAAAGTCTCCTAAATCCATATTTTGTGTTTATATCTTCAGTTGCAGTTTGCCATCAGTTCCAGAAGAACGAGGGGAAGTGGGACAACAAGGGACACGGAGTTCTGCGTTGGACGCTGTTCTGCGTTCTCTTTGTCCAGCTCACAGATCTTTACTCTACCAGATCTTTAAGCTTGTTCACCAGGAACACCTGGTCCTTAATCATAGACGTGCTGGTCCGACTGAGTCTCACTGCTGTCATTGTGGTACGGGCCCACAAGAAGCCAAACCCCAACCAGTCCTTTTTATTGAATGTAAAGCTCAAAGTTGCAGTGTGTGCTGCTCTTCGACTGATTGTGACCATCAGAGCCTTTGTAGTGTTAGGACCCATACAGGGGGCTCCAGGTCTAGTTGTAGCATCTATCTCCAGCCTTTTAAAGACCGTAACCATGAAGGTCAGCAAGGCTCAAGCTGTGGCTGCACACACAGTTGCAGGATGGAAACTTATTCAGCCCTGTGCTCCAAGAGACTGCACTGCAGTTTCTGTCAGATCTCAGCAGCAGGCCACATGGACAACACGATGAGTTCATTTGCATCCTCTCCTCCTTTATCCAGTTCTTCACTGTGTACTTCCTCCTCAAAGTTATGCTCATCTGTACGTCATAAGCAACAGAACTCCCACTGTTGTTCTGTTTGTCAACACCATGTCTGTCTGACACATGTCAGGAATACAATAGAGAGAGATTTTAAGGATTGTTCTGCCCCAAACAGGGATCAGAGCCCTTCTCCTCCCCCTCTTTCCCCAATCCCCTCTGATCATAAGAAAACTAACGAAAAGCCACCTTCTCTCTTTCACCTCAGACAGGCAGAGGAAGCTGATCTAATAGTTAAAAATAGACCTGCAAATGTAAGCTGCATGGCTGCAGGTTTGGATGCAGCTGCAAAGACCGAGTTGCAGTGTAGGACTACAGGAAGTAGTCGGGCAGAACAGAACTCGAGCAGGACTTTACTCCGAGATGTCATGAATCGCTTCAGTCAAAAACTGGAGACCATCACACCTCTGGACAAGGATCCCACTCTAGTTTCCTCAACCAGTCAAAGCTTACAGTTTCATGGTGATGCTCATCTAACTGAAATCATCACCACTGTGCTTCATACAGGCAATGCTAGTGACTACAACCTGAACGAGCTGTTTAACCGCCACAATAACGGAGAGCCCAAGTCACCTAATACTCGTTCTCGTCGTCGGCAGGAAATTCAGAAGGCTCTAGCAACACCTTCTGATGGTGCTTCACCCAGAAGACATGCCTTAGAAATCAAACGAAAGCTAGCCATGCTAGATCCATCCTGCAACAGAAGAAAGGTGACCCTAGCAAAGAAAGCAAGATTGAGAAATGGAAATGTTGCCATAACTACATCAGGCTCTTTGTCAGACCCAAATTTAATAAAAGATATGTCTAAAACAAAAACAGAGGAAGTAAAAGGGGAGGACAAAGATGGGAAAATATTCCAGGGGCAAAAGAAGCCTGCTGTCTCTAATACTCAGCACCTCTCTGAGCAGCAGAACATGAATGAAAAGACAGACCCAAAAGATGATTCTATGAAAACAGAGATGGTACCAGTGACAGTCAGGTGTGCCAAAAGGACTCCTAGTCCTTGCAAAGAGAATTGTAAGCGTAGAAATGTGTCAAGTAACAAGAGTCATGAAGAAACCCCTTTAGTTCAAAGCTTTATCACAAGGAATACACCAGAAAAAGCTACCCATAGTCCTGTTGGAGAAGGACAAAACTGTCAGTCTGACCAGTCTGGAGCAGTAAGGAAATCTGCAAGAACTATTATCCCTCCACAAAGATTTAACTCATATGTCACATGGCATGCTCCATTATTTCATGTCTCATTAAAAGATGCAGATGCTAGCAACATTCAGCTGAAGTCAAGAAACGAAGCCCCTCTGTCTTCAGTTGAGGAAACAGGGAAGTTAGTGTTGGAATCAGGACAAAAAGAATCACCTGAGCCATCGCGCACAGGGTCAGAAGATCTGCACCATGTTGTGGTTGAAACTTCGGCTATGAATAAAAAGAGTCCTGAAAAGCACAGTCCAGAAAAGGAAACTGATGGTAGAAGGCTACGGTCATCAACAAGAAAACTACAGGCTTCACAAATGTACCAAAGCTCATTAAATGACAGCAATATCAAGGCTGCCTGTGTTGCCATCCCTCCTGGCCTCCAGGTCCACTTCGTTAGTCCAATTAAGCTCATGTTTGTGTCACCAGTGAAGGACAAAGATGGAGTTAAATACAGTCTCAAATCGGCAGGTAATGGTTTTGGTGTACGAACAGAAGATCATTTTGACCCCTGTGAAGAGTCTTCATGGTCAGGAACACCTCAGAGGCACAAAAGGCAGAACAAAGAGAGTGCAGCATCACCAGTAAAATCAGTTCTCACACCAGTCAAATCTGTTACCCCATGTACATCACCTGCTTCTTCACCAGCAAAGTCTGCATCCTCACCCAGGTCTGCATCTTCACCGAAGTCTGCACCTTCAACGAAGTCTGCATCTTCACCGAAGTCTGCATCTTCACCGAAGTCTGTATCCTCCCCAAAGTCTAAATCTTCACCGAAGTCTGCACCTTCACCGAAGTCTGCATCTTCACCGAAGTCTGTATCCTCCTCAAAGTCTAAATCTTCACCGAAGTCTGCACCTTCACCGAAGTCTGCATCCTCCCCAAAGTTTGCACCGTCACCGATGTCTGCATCTTCACCGAAGTCTTCATCGAAGTTGGCATCTTCACCTAAATCAATCTCCTCATCACCTAAAAATAGTTCAAGATCAGGTGACAGTACTCCACCTAAGCGTTTATCTGAACCAGTGGGTGAGCGATTACTGGGTGACTTGCCGTCGCTCTGTGAAATCACTCCTCCAAAAAGGCGCCCGGGCCGACCAAAGAAGCTGGGACCTCAGCCGGAGCAAAGAGTGAAGAGACCCATTGGTCGTCCACCTAAACAGAAAACTGCAGGAGCTGTATTAGAGGCAAAACCACTAAATGAAAAAGGGCGTCTTCCATCTGATGAACATAATGTTGTCAAGAACCTCAAAGTAACAGTCTTATATGGCCGTTCAAGGAGAAACAAGCGAATGGTGTCTGAGAGTTTCGACCAGCTGCAGACAAACCAAGATGTAAAAGCCAGGAGGGATTTGGCCACTTTATTACATTGTTCCAACAATAGTTTAGGTACCATCAAAACAGCCTCAGCAGAGTTGAATCTTGTTAGCCTTGGTAAAGAACATGCCCCTCAATCTAACAGTAACATCAAATGTCAAAAGCAGGCTGAATCTGCACCCTCAAGAAAACCAGGGAGGCCTGCAAAAGTTAAAATCTCTGGGATCTCAGTCACCGTTACTACAGTTTCCCCTCGACAACGCAAAATTCAGATAAACAAAGATATTCTAAAGTCACCTGAAACACAGCTTCCTAAGAAAGCCCTCCTGCCAGAATTCAAATCTGCAACAGAGCCTCGCAAAATTAGCTGTGAGTTATCACGTAAAAATAATGGAACTGAAGTTACAGGAACTCAAAATGAAAATAAAGCTGAACTGCCAAGTCCATCTGTAGCAGTGCGACACTCGATGAGGGAGAGAAAACCCTCGATACACTTCCTGCACGCCGTTGCTACCGCCACTTCCAGATCATACAGCTGCAGCAGCGCTCTGCTGCGCCGCTCTAAAAAGCTTCTGTTGACTAAAGCGAGCATTGAAAGGAAACAAGAGGAGCAGAAGAGTGGTGCAGAGACTTCAAGGGAAAGACGACAGCCCTGTGGAAAAGAGAGACGAAGCATTGTTCGAGACCTGAGCAAAGTGGCACGGGTATCATTGGATTCAATCTTTAGCCCAAAGGAGACGCTACGCTGGTGGGCACCATCAGTTGAGGAGAAGATGATGAGCCAGGAGTTCGCCGAGAGAATACGGGTTATCTCTGACACCTGGGTCTCAGATGCTGCCAATAACAGAGACAAGGGAAGAGCCTTAAACTCTAAACTTGACACTGAAGGGAACAACTCATCTTCCAGGACGTCGAAGAAATCCTCAGTGATTCGAACGCTGTTCGACTGCTCACCCAACAAACCGAGGTCTTGCAGCATGAGGCAGATCTGCTCCTGGTTTATGGAGACCACAGAAACACAGTCTCTGGCGATTGTCAAGAAGGCAAGCTCCCGAAATCCTTATGAACTTATGCACTTCCCCCGTTCTGCCAGTAAAACAAGTGTTTGCCAGAGTCCTCAAGCAGAGAGACTTCGCAAGCACATCAAGAAGTTTGCTAAGACTGTTCCAAAGAGTCCTCTGCAGCATCAGCGGGCTCTGCAGCGACTGAGCAAGAAGCCAAGGGTTTGTAAGGTTAGACGACAACTTTTTGTTCCGAGTTTTGGGTTGCTCAAACATAAACGAAGAGTCTTGTGGAGGAGATGCACTTTGTCGAGTAGATTTTGGACCAGTCTGGGTAGAGCAAGAACATGTTTTCAAACCCAGAAAGAAAGGGAGAGGTGGCAAAGGAAGCAGAGAAACAAGAAAAAACAAAAAGTAGAAACAAGTATCTCAGATAAGCTCATAGCAACGGGACTACATCGTAAAGCATTACACAGATCAGCAAAAGCTCTGTTCTTGGACCGTGTAGAGAACAGTTCTCCCTCCTCTTCTGGCAGCCAAACTCAGGAGCATGTGGATGCACAGAAGGAGCAGAAGCTCTCCTCCAAAGCCTGGAGTCCTGAGACTCTGAAGGAATGTCGCGTGTTTCTCAGGAAGATTAACTCTCCAGGCAACGAGTCAGCCGAGGAGTGGGACTCCTGCACTGTGACACTGGATGATGGACTGCCTTCTGCATACGTGTTTGTAGGAAAGGAGAAAGAACTAGAAGTTGTTAAAGCTGTGACAAGTGAACAAAAAAGGAGCATGAATACGAGGGCTGCCTCAAGAGAGTCTGGACCTAAATCAGCCCAGGAGCAGGATGTAGTTGTAGCAGGGAGGCAGAGGAGGAAACACAAACATCCTGGGGTTGAGTTGCCACAACCACCACCAGCAAAACTGTTGAGACAATCGAGAATGAGGGGCCTGACGGGGCCGAGGTGGTGCGACTTTGTGTTTGGTAAGTACGCTCTCTTATGTTTGAACACATTGGCTTTGGATAAAGATCCAAAAGAGCTCAAAAAAGATTTTTTTTTTTTTGTTCTGACAGAAAACTAAATGAAGCAAGAAGGCCTCCCCTTCCTGGAAACAGGTCTGTGGTTTTAACCTGGTGCCTTTGGACATTAAGCTGACCACCTGGACTGACCTTGTCACAGAGGTTCTGCTCCACTCAGCACTCATGTAGCAGTCTAACTTAAAAGCTTGACGTTGCACTATTTTTACCCGTCTTGAATATGTTTTTTTTTTTTTTTGGTCATCTGGCCTTTGCTTTTCAAATGTGTATAGAAGAACAATTTTCCATTGATGGTTGTAAAGTGAGCCCTCAAGTTGCTTTGTTGGAGGAAAGGTGAAGCTTGACTACATTAAAAAGGTGTTTCCCTGAGAAGACACCTTACAAACGTTAAAACAACTTAAATCTGCCATTTTTACTCTTTTAAGACATTTTCTCCAAAACCTAACAAATAATTTTGTCTTTATAAAATAAAGTCTAACTTTAGTGTTCTTAAATTTCTAATTAAATTAATCATTTGACGCTTGACGTTAAAGTCTAGGTTAATTTGTTTTAAACTTTTTGAAATCCGAGCCATTGTTTTGGAATATGTGCACCGTTTATGTAAGCCAGATGTTTACATACACTGTATAAAAAGACAAACATTTGTCCTCACTGACATGAAATCAAACCAGTTTTAAATCAGCATGCCTGAATAATGGGAGAGAATATTTTACTGCCTTCCAAGTCATAAATGTACATATATTTTGTGATTTGGTATCATTGTCAGTAGCATGATGCTGCCACCCCCGTACTTTACAGTCAGGATGGTGTTCTCAGGCTTGTGAGCACCCAGGTCTTTGTGTACATTTGCAAACTGCAATGTCCTCTTCCTCTCCGGGTGGCCTTTCAGCTCATGTTGGTCCTGTGCCCGTTTCACTGAGGATTATGACTCTGGCCATATCCAGTAGTATCTTCATGAGGTCTTTTGTATTCGTTTTGGGTTTGATGCCACATTTTACACCAAAATAGGTTCATGGTAGGAACACAGAACCCGTCTTGTCCCGGAGCAGTATAACGGGACACTTCCACAGTGTTTATACCTGCATATAATGGTTTGAACAGATGAACCATCTGGCTTCTGGAAATTGTTCCAAAAATGAATCTTGAGTTGTGGAGGTCAACAATTCTCTCTTCCTGAGGTCTTGGTTGATTTTCTCTTTATTATTTTTCTAGGGATGCACAGTATTGGATTTTTGGCCAATATGTTAAAACTTATTTGGTCGATGCCAATACCGATAGTTTTCCCCTAGACCTACTTACAGAGACAACATAGATTTCTCTGCTGTGGAATTAAAATCCTACATTATTCTGCTTCAACTTGGATTATGTTTAATGTCAAATTTATTCATGACATTTACTCTCTCCAACTCAATGACAACACTCGAACAGTGCAAATTTGTAAATTTTCACAAATCTGAACTCAACCTGTTCACAAGCGACAAGTGAAAAGCGTATTAATAGATATACTTGACAGTTTCTTAAATTAAAAATTAACTTAAAACAGAAGACTTTTATATTGGCGAGTAATTTTGATGGAATGGCCGATGTCCGATATTTAACTTTATTGCTAATATCACCTGATACGATACGTGCTGATAATGTCATGCTTCCCTATATTTTTCCCATGATGCCACACAAAGCAGCAATGAAACTGAGCTGTGCCCTAAAGTGCATCACAAGTTGTCCACTAGCCAATCAAAAGCTTCCAAATCCATGACATCATCAGGTATTCCCAAATTGTTTAAAGGCATATGAATTATGATGTATCTAAACGTTTAACTTTGAAAAAATGTTTTAAAAGAACCATTGTCTTATTTAGACATTTAGCAAATCCTAACTGACCTAAAACTGGAAAAAGTTTAGTCTGATTTAAAGTTGGTGAAAAAAAAAACAATTATTTCTCTTTTATAAGGTGTATGTAAACATCTGGTGAACGAAGGAGTTGTTTGGATCTTCCTACTTGTTGACTTTGTTGATGACCCAGTCTGAGCGCACGCTTCACCTACAGTATTCAACTCGTACCAAACTGAATCATTTTAATCATCTCCAGTTTTTATTTGTTTCAAGTCGTGACACCAAACTAACTCACACCCCGCACAGACGGGGTTGGGTGTTCACATCATGTCATTTTAAAACAGATTTTGCTTTAATGGTTTGAGGGAATCTGTTGAACCCAGTTTTCTGTAGGACCGTCTTGATTTCACTCACAGCTTTTACTTCTTCTGCTGCCAGATGTACTTCTTGCACTATTTTGTTTGAGATTATTAATCCCACTACAGGTTCCTCCTTCCATATTTTGCACATCCCGTGTCCCAGTACCAACCCCCGCTGTCTTTGGTGCAATACAACCCCAGATGATTTATCAATATGTAGAAGTGATTTTATTGACAGACGAATGGATGTACTCGAGTACCAGTGGCCTGGGATGTTACTTCTCCTGCTTCAGTAGTGATTTTAATATTAGCACCCTTGTGTTACATCAGCTTTCATTGAGTTAACTAATGAAAAATAAACACTTTACCTGCTTTCCCTTTCCCCAGAGGCAAAGACAACCTAATTTTCACCACAGCATTAAATTGTATTATAATTATTCACAGTGGACACACAGGTGGGTTGCTGTTTAATAAGTTGCAGCAACATGTTTACCTTCACTGGGGCTCCACTCACCTGTCAGAGATGATTCATTTAACACTAATCTTAAATCATGTTTCTTGCCATAGGCAGCAGGAAGGCAGATTTCACACACACACAATTCAGCTCAACATTGCTTTGGTCGATTGTTCACCTGCTTGAGGGAACAGAAGAGAGGTGGTCTGAGGACTGGGGATGACTAAATATCTATGTAAGCTCCTTGTGGTAACTCCTCCTGTCACGCAGGTTGTAATTCCACAATTAGGGAGTTACTTTATTATTCTTAATCAACACCCACCCTAACAACAGCTCCTAATGAATCTGTTTATCACCTTGTTTCCTGCCATACAAAGGGCAGATAGACCCAAAACAGTCTGGTTTTAGGTCAAAGCTGCTCGAAATGAGGTCCCCGACTGTTTAGTTCCCCCCATGTTACAAATGTTGCCACGAGGGAGAATATGAAGCTCAGTCCTGTTTGTTAAACTTGGTGCTCTGCTGATTTTTTATTATTGTTGTGGATTTTATACTGTCCATTACAGAAGCAACAAGCAGGTGTCTGTAACTGGATGAATAAAGAGTCTTTTCAAGTAACGTGTGCGTGTGTGTGTTCAATAAATCAGAGACCAGCTCTACCATCGGTCTTTAAACTAACATCTTGTGATGATATGAAGGAGTTGAGTCCACTTTGGTCAAACTAAAATGCTGCAGAGGATTCAGCCAAATCTCTGCTTGTTTTCTGTACGCTTGACTGAATTGTAGCCGTTTTAGTTTGTTCAGGTTAATAAGCTGCGGCAGCCATGTTGAAATGGATCAACTCCTAAAGCTGAATGGGTGAAGACGTACATCCAGTTATTCCATCCAATTATATATTTTACTGACAGACTAGATGATTTCATATACCGATAATTAATGTAAGGGGTTCAAAACCACGTTTCAAATCAGTTTCCTCCCCTCAGCTGTTCTGAACCACAGACCTGCTGGGTGATGGTCCAAAGGAAAAATAATAATAATCAAAACCCCTCGTCAACCACTGACCTGTTCAACTTTCAGTTTGGTTTTCCATGTTTAGTGAGACACCTGCCGAGGGGCAGACTCTCGTTGGCAGCTCCATACTCTGAAACGTGGCACCTGCGACTCAAACCAGGGGATGCACCTGAAGCTACTGGCTAAAGCTGAGGTGACGACAGTAAAATCATTCACGTCTGTGAAAGACACTCGGCTACGCTAATCAGAGGTCACTAAAATTAATGTTGCTTTGGTGCGTAACTTTGCAAAAACCATGTCTGACCATGTAGTTTTCTCCAACCCCCTAACCAGCGATGACGTTTAGCCGTATGTCGACTTCCAACCACTGGGCGTCCAGGTGGTGCTCTGAAAACAACGTAGGATTTGTAGACAACTGGGAGTGCATTCTGGGGAAAACCCAGTCTGATATCTAGATTACAAAATCTGAGGACAGTAGTCCAAATTTAAAGTTTATTTTTTTAAAATTCAATACTGAAAGTTTTCTCGTGTCTTGCATGATAAGTTTGGTTTTAACTGGTCCCGTTCCTTAAACCAGACTGAAGTTTGTTTCAAATCCCAGTCTGTTCAGCTGGTGTCAATTTAAATAAATTTATCAAGTCAAAGTTGCTTTTTTTTTTTTTTTTAATTTTTGACTTCATGATAGAAGAGACATCGTCATATATAACTCACTTTATTATTAAAATACAACTTGTGATTGAAAACTGACGATAAATCAAATATGACCAAAGAGATTTCTACACAAGATGAGCTTTAGGTCAGAACTGTACTGACGGTGTGTTTTCTGGGAGACAGTTGAGCGTTAATATGTCTAGTGTTCAACAGTGGTACGTTTTCAGTTTACACAAACTACCGGTAGCCATATTGAAAGGTTTACGACACGTTGGCCTCCTGGTTGATGAGGGGGTTCAGATCCAGTTTGGTTTTCTCCAGCGCTGCAGTCTTGGCCCTCCGTGACGGACGCACCACAGGAACAGACTCTGGGACGTTTTCTCCATCGCTGCAGCCGAAACGCGAGTCGTGAGTTTACAGCTAATTATCTGAACGCTAAGCATTAAAAACGTTGGCGCTCACCTCTCCTCCGATGACTCTGCCCTCCTGCTGGGTTTTCGGCCTCCCCTGGCCGTGGAGCCCTTCCTCTGACCTGTGCAAACACACTCGGGTTACCTCCCAGTGCTGAGTCACCTTCATTCAGCCACCTGAGAAAAGATGTAAAAATAAAACTGCTCTGAATGCAGAGCTTTACCTCTTTTAGCTGTTTTGACAGGTTTAGGCGGTCCGTCTGCTGCAGCCTCTGTGGAAACGACACAGTTTCAACATTTACAGATCTATTGCTCTGACGGGCTAAGATGAAGCGTGGAGATTTTCTGTAAGAGGGTTTAGAACAAGTAGATGCAGGTGATGGGAGAGAAATGTACCATCTGCGATGACGTCTGACGGCTGTAGAGTGCTCTTACTGAAGACCTCCTCCTGCTCCTTTGAGTCCATCAGCTGATGCAACATCTTCTCCAGAGCACGAAGACAAACACGATCTTTTACCACCTGAAGGACAGAGAGCTGTTAAAGTCTTTCAGGAGGCTGATCGGAAACATGCACACTGAGGTTTGACTTGTGGTGTCTCTGCAGCTGTAACGTACACGTGGAACTAGAAGACAAGTACTGGTACATGAGTGGCAGAACACGCGTGCGTTTTATTTAACTGCAGTTTGTAAATGGTACGACCGAAAACAAGCAGAGGAACGCACCATCTTCAGCACTTCACACCAAACAAAGCAGACATGGCTGCTTCAGAAAGAAATGCAAACAAGTATATATATAACATATATAATATATATATAATATATATAACATATATATATATATATATAACATATATATATATATAACATATATAATATATATATATATATATATATATATATAACATATATATATAATATATATATATATAACATATATATATATATATAACATATATATATATATATAACATATATATATATAACGTGTATATATAAATATATATATATATATACATACATACTGCTAATGAACTTTTAATGAACTTTAGTTCACCATTAAATCTCTGATGAACCAGATTCTACAAAAACATCTATATTTAAAATTGTATAGGTTTTCTTCATCATATGTATTTGCTCTCATTGTGTCTACTTTTATTGTTCAATTAGAAATGTGGTTTTGTTTCTTGTATACAGATTTTTATTTTTGCTTTAAAGTTTAATTCTTGTTTGTGATTTGTACATCTGTGGGTTAGAATAAAGTTGAACTAAAGGCTGTCTCTCTTTAAACACGTTTGAGGGAAATATTTCTGAGATCCAATAATTTTGTACTTTTATGATTTTTCAGCTGAGTTAACTTTAACAGGTTATTTAATAAGGTCATTAAAGTAAAAACACGATTTCATGATAAAGGCGGCACCGTTTATTTTTTTTAATCTTCACTGACAAAAAAATAATTATACATAAAATGTTTTAAAAATCGTTTCCACCCTCCGTCCCAGAGCCACACTGGTCCACCTGTGCCTGCCGGGGCTCGGGCCCCGGCCTCGTGTGCTCCTGCGGGTTGGTAGCTCGGAGGATCCTCCGCGGTGACTGGCGGAGCTCGGAGTCGGGGAGGTGACGCCCTGCCCTGCCCAGCCGGAGGGAGGGGGCTCTGAGGCGCCGGTGGAGAGGACTGGGGGGACCGGCGGAGCTCCATCTAGCTTGCTCTGAAGTTTGTCGTTGGCCACCAAGCACAAAAAACACCTGCACTTCAGCATTAGACCGCGTGTTGTCATTATTGTTTTATAAATCTTTAAAATAGGTCCAGCTGCTCCTCAAGTTGTTATTGCAACTGGCGGATTAGGTTTTTGCTCAAACAACCAGTGACTCCACCCTCTAACCAACCAGTGACCCACAGTGTTCTGGCGTCACATTTCAAGACCAGAACAGTACACCTGGAACCAGAGTCAAGTTGGTTCTGAAAAAGGGGCTGGTTCCACGAATGGTGGAAAAGACTTGGAACCGTGCAGAGCCAAGTCAAACCGAGCCGTAGAGGTGATAGTGAAAAAGAGGCGTAGGTTTGTTTTATTTCATCTTTTGCAACATCTCGGTCTGAGAAATGTTTCTGAAGTTGAGTGTTTTTGTTCAGGACGTGGTCATTAGGTTCCTGTTCAGTTTACTGCAGCCTCAGTCTCCTCACTCAGGAGGCCGCTTTGACCCGTTCTGCTTCTTGGAGGCTCACTTTGCATTTAGCTTTTCTTTCCTTTGACTCACGTGTCACACCCGTTACACTTTCATCCTAAATAAAAACACATGCCGTGTCATGACCGGTGGTTTAGTTCTTGTCGTGACCGGTGGTCTAGTTCTTGTCGTGATCGGTGGTTTAGTTCTTGTCTTGACCGGTGGTCTAGTTCTTGTCATGACGGGTGGTTTAGTTCTTGTCTTGACCGGTGGTCTAGTTATTGTCATGACCGGTGGTTTAGTTCTTGTCTTGACCGGTGGTTTAGTTCTTGTCATGACCGGTGGTTTAGTTCTTGTCTTGACCGGTGGTTTAGTTCTTGTCTTGACCGGTGGTTTAGTTCTTGTCTTGACCGGTGGTTTAGTTCTTGTCATGACCGGTGGTTTAGTTCTTGTCATGACCGGTGGTTTAGTTCTTGTCATGACAGGTGGTCTAGTTCTTGTCTTGACCGGTAGTCTAGTTCTTGTCACGACCGGCGGTTTAGTTCTTGTCACGACCGGCGGTTTAGTTCTTGTCACGACCGGCGGTTTAGTTCTTGTCACGACCGGCGGTTTAGTTCTTGTCACGACAGGCGGTTTAGTTCTTGTCACGACAGGTGGTTTAGTTCTTGTCACGACCGGTGGTTTAGTTCTTGTCATGACCGGTGGTTTAGTTCTTGTCATGACAGGTGGTTTAGTTCTTGTCATGACCGGTGGTTTAGTTCTTGTCATGACCGGTGGTTTAGTTCTTGTCTTGACCGGTGGTCTAGTTCTTGTCATGACCGGTGGTCTAGTTCTTGTCATGACCGGTGGTTGACCGGTGGTTTAGTTCTTGTCACGACCGGCGGTTTAGTTCTTGTCTTGACCGGTGGTCTAGTTCTTGTCTTGACCGGTGGTTTAGTTCTTGTCTTGACTGGTGGTCTAGTTCTTGTCTTGACCGGTGGTTTAGTTCTTGTCATGACCGGTGGTCTAGTTCTTGTCATGACCGGTGGTTGACCGGTGGTCTAGTTCTTGTCTTGACCGGTGGTCTAGTTCTTGTCATGACCGGCGGTTTAGTTCTTGTCTTGACCGGCGGTTTAGTTCTTGTCTTGACCGGCGGTCTAGTTCTTGTCACGACCGGCGGTTTAGTTCTTGTCACGACCGGCGGTTTAGTTCTTGCACG